GTGAACCAAAAACCCCTCTTTTCTTCCAAAAGAGGCAAAACTGTGTGTAGTGTGTTTACAGTTACCTTTTTCCAAGGGTAAATTTCTCATCTTTCTGTAACAGGTCACATGTTGCAGCCACGGCTCGAAGACAAGGGGGCCATCCCTGGCCACGTTGTCCAGCTGTTTTGAAAAGTAGGCCACTATCGCCTGGCTGCTCCCAAGGTTTGAGATAGTACCCCCACAGCAATTCCCTGTTTTAATATCAGTCCATTCAATGGCATACAGCGGCTGAGACTCGGGGCGTAGAGGATTACAAAAGAAGACATCTTTCAAGTCCAGTACTGAAAACCGAGCACATTAACTGGCTATAGTAACCAAGAGGGTATATGGATTGGCACAATCGGGTGAATGTCCTCTACTATTTGGTTGATTTTCCATAGGTCTTGAACAGACCCATATTCTCTTGTCCCTAGTTTCAACACCGGTAAGATAGGGGTGTTGTATGGAAACTGGCAAAATTTTAGTGTCCAGTTTGTATGTACCAATGCATCAGTAGTGCGATCCCTTCCAAAGCTTCCTTGTGGAGGGGATGTTGCCTCTGATTTATAATAGGTGCTCTAGGTTTTAAAGTAATTTTAACCGGCGCGGCTGACTTGGCTCACACAGGCCTTTCTGATGTCCAGACCTCTGGATTCACCTTTTGTTGAATATGGAAAGGAATATCATTATTTCTTCTTGCGACAGTGTTGCCTGCAAGATGCATGCATTTTCAGGCAGGATCTGTAGAAAATGGAAAGGAACAACTCTGCCATCCTATTTGAGTTACTCCGAGATGGGAGATTGGGATTGTTCCAATTATACAAGTCACAGGTAGAGAAAGAAGTACGTACTAACATTGTTCCTCCTTCGGCTGGAATTTTTCTCAAAGGAAATTGCCTTCCCGAGCCCCAACAGTACCCTCACCAAAAACAGTACCGGGACGGGTATGTGTAGAGCGGAGACCACACACGATGAAGTTGCACTCTTACTTCCCGATTCCCTTCTTTGTCAGTTCCTTTCAAGCTGGCGGGACTAGAATCAGGCTCAGCCCTTTCTGTGGGGGACTCTGCCTTCATTCCTCAACCTGACCTGTCGGCTTCTACTGCACCATCCCTATATGGCAGGGGGAGCCAAGGCAGTTATCGGGACTATTCGTAGTAAGTGGGGACCCTCCGGCCAGGATTCAGGTAGCACTTTTGTCTTCTGCTTTCCCTGGAAAAGAATCTGGTTAGAGGGATTTAAAGTTTGATAAAGAGACATGAAAGCTTGAGTACAGGGAAATTTGTCCCATTTTTTTCTTACAAAACAAGTCAAGCTGAAAAATCATGCCTTAAGCCAAAGACCCATTTTGGAGCCAATTTTTCTGGTGCCCCAGCTGCTATTGGGGCCATAAGCTGTTATATAAGCATATCATTTTCTTTCTTGTCACAGGCTCGTAGCTATACCTCCTCCAGTTTTTTAGAAAGCAGCCTAGAGGAGATTTGGCTTGGATTGATGGGCCTCTCCCCATAAGAGGTGTTTGTTTATGCATAAGCAGCATCAGTAACTGCTTTTCATGTG